TCTCTCTCTCTCTCTCTCTCTCTCTCTCTCTCCCTTCACCCCCACCTTTGCTAAAACACCTCTGCGCTTCGTTCCCGTCCGTTAGAAGAAACCGAAATCGGTGAGAAGAAAAAGAAAAAAAAAGGAAGAAAAAAACAAAAAACAGTAAAAACGACAAGGAACAAAAAAAAAAAACACCAAGTGAAACAAATCAAGAGAAAGCCAATCGTGAGGGAAATTGAAATTTATGTATTTCGTTGCAGGAAAAAAAGAATAAGGAATTAAGAAAAATCGTGACAATATCAACAACTGAATGTTGGAAGGAGAAGGAAAAAAGGAGACAATAAGCGAGAGAAAAAAACGGAGAACAAAAACGATCGTGCTTACCACATGTCGCAATATAAATAATAATAATAACAATGCTTGTATCGTATTAAAATAAAGAAGCGATGGCGCCTTTCCCCCAACCCTTGACCAAGAGAAGAAAAACACCTTATGGAAGCAAAACAAAACTCCAGAACCAAGGTAATATGAAAAGAAAAACTCTAGGATATGAACGGATATAAACGCAAAGCGGTGAGTTGTTGACTTTTTTTTTTTTTTGACTTTTTTGATTTTTTTGATTTTTTTGACTTTTTTGATATCTTTGATTTTTTTTTTGTTTTGGTTTCTGTTAGGAAAACGGGCAGCGTACCACCGCAAAGAGAATATTTGAACGGAAAGAGTAGAAAGGAATAAGCTTTAATTTCAAACGTTAAAACAAAGAAATCACGCGAGACAGAAAAGCAGTGCAAAAGAAGAAGAGGAAACAAGAGTCAAGAGACAAGAGGAGAAAGGAAAAAGAAGAAAAAAAGAAGAAAAAAAGGCACGAACCGGCGACTCCCCTAAGAATACTGTAAGTCCTCTACCTCAAAAATGGGATCGGGGTCCGGAATCATTGTTGTTAGATCGTTACCACAAGTGTCGAACATTCCTGCGGTATCTTTAGCGGCAGCAGGGCCCGGGAGATTGCCGAAGATTGTACTAGCGGTCTCTCCGCCCGCCGACGGCTGCAAATGAAATAATAATTGCTGTTGGGGTAGTGACATGCCGCTTTGCTCTTCGGCCGCATTATTTTGAGGATTCAGGGCATCCGCCAGCCGTATCGAGCCACCAGTGACAGAATATTGAACCGCGTAATTATGGGACAGATCGAAGACATTGCCGCTCTCGCACCAATTGGCGGGCTGCTCCCACGCGGCGCCCGCGAAAGGATCTTGCTGCATGGGAATGCCCGAGATACCTAGTGCCCCGTCTTGGGCCACCGCCACCGGTGCCGTACTATTTCCAACGGCGGTATTCTCTGGGTTGGATACCCGCGATATGTCATCCTCCTTCTCGCTTTCCTCAGCGCTAGTGGGTTCATTGTTAACGCTCTCGTGCGCATCATCCGCCTGCTCTTCTGAGGGGTATTCCCCGTCTTCTACTTCTACCTCGACTTCTTCGATCCATTTCCGCAAGGTTGCCATATCGGGGGTAGAAGCGTTAAAAGTCATCTTCTTTTTTTTCGCGCCCTCCTTTGCCTCCCGGTCGAAGTGCTGCCGCCTCAGATGCGCTGCGGCATTGTAGTCGATCCCGTACTTCTTCCCGGATTGGCACACCTTGCACTTGGCCAGAAACTGACCATCCAGGGAGATATCCTTGATGACGAACATCTTGCGAAGGCGGGTGTGTTCACGCTCCGTGTGACGGCGGAGCTCGTGATCACCCCGAAACCCATCGGGGCAATCATTGCAATACTTGCAGTGCACCCTTGGTTGCGAGGGTCGAACGTAGCTAGGCTTTGCGGCCGGGACCGCTGCGTCTTTGGGGCCGGACTTGCCCGTTTTTGACGCTGCCAACACTCGACCGCCGGCAGGGAGGTTTCCCGTTGTTTCCGTCCTTTCGATAGATTCGTGCCGAGTTGTTTTATCAGTGGTGGTCGGATTCCGGTGATTAGCGGGTGATCCCGAGTCCCCCTTGCGCTGGGCCTGGCGTCCCTGCTTTCCACTTTCCAGCGCCCCGTGCCCTGTGGCGGTCGCGGCGGAAGCCACCTCACCCTGAACCGCAGCCGCGGGATCTGCTTCCTCCTTCACCCGCTTGGGCCTCCGTGACTTTACACCCTCCGATGCGGTCGACGGATCCCTTTGCATCTCGTGCTCTACTGTGAGGGCCAGTGAGCGATCAAGATCTTCCACACTCGTGCTGGAAGGCCGCTTTAGCATGTGTTGGCCTGTGGCCTTGTCTAATGATAATGAGAGTCCGGCGTCGCCTGCGGGAGGCCCAACACCATTAAGCATTGTGTCCATGTCCCCTCGGCTACAGAAAGCGCCGTAATCCCCACCACCATTCCCAGATGTAGAGTTCCCGGTGGATGACGAGAGCCTGAGCATCATTGTTCCGTTTGTTAAACTGGCGTTACTAGCCTGGCGGCTCATGGGGGCCCAGGAATTTTGCGGGTAGGGGAAGCAGTCGGTGGGAGACGTAGACTCCCCTTGAGACGAAAGGTAGGAACTCCGGCTCATGTGTGACGCATCCGAGTAGCTTCGGGAATGGCGGGTCATCGGAAAGGAGAGCAACCCTGGGTTCCCGAGGCAGCTCTCGTCGCCCCCTGCGTAGCACCCGGAGGGGGAGCTAGATAACTGGGGTTGCATACGGGGTGCGCATATGCCCGGCGAGCCGGCCAAGGTGAATGAGTAGTCTTGATCCGCAGAACCGCCGCAGGTCATGGGAGTGCTACTGACCGAATGCCGGAGTAGATGGAATGGCTCAGAACTATCTTCCTGGCTGAAAAAGCCGGAGAGGGCGAGGCTTTCGTCCCCACGCTTGAACATTGATTGAATATCCTCAAGAGTAGGTTGTGGAGTTTTTTGGGGCGTGGTCAGGGGGGCAGGGCGACATGTCACCGAATTCGAGACCTGAAATTGGTGGGGAGATCTGCCAGACATGAAGGCAAAGGTCTGCTGTGTGGTGGGAGCGGCTCCCGGATATGAAGATGTCTGTGTTATCACACTTTCTCTCAGCACACAAATACAGGTTCCCACAGCACAGCAACTCCGATCTGCGGGGAGACAAATGTTTACCGAATTAGAATAAGACATTTGCTGGCTCTCGAGAGGAGGCGCTGGCGGTTGATTCCCCCCGGGACATGAACCTGTCTTGCGGTTGACTGCTCTCAAATCACTACTCACAGATTCACCACGAACCGGGACAGCACTGTGGCCCCCAGTCACTACCCCAGAGAACATGTTCGCACATTCATCGGGCGAGAGGTCCGGGTGTTCCTCCCGGAACTTCGTGAAGTCGAGGAGATAGCTTTTTAAATTGTGCGGGGCTCCTTCTTCTCGGGGGATGCCTAAAGGCGGAGCTGCCATCGATAATCTTTATCTCGATTCTGCTAAATCTCTTTGTGGAAAGGATACAGCAAGCGCCACCGCTCTGGCAAAACTAAATATCCCCTTCTCGATATCTTTCTTTTCTTTTCTCTTTCGTGCCCGATTCTTCCCCTGATGTCTCTGCCGCCTTTTTTTTCTTTTCGCTGCACCTCCTTCTCTTTCCCCAGCTGCCTTCTCACCCTCACTGACCCCAGCAGACGCGTAGTAATTGTAAAGAGAGAAATAATCGATGACTTCAAACAATTATAGTAAGGTCTACCTATATTCACTGTAAACTGATCGCTTATCGTCAGTAAGGCTCAGATGGTCTGCGCGTCGGGAGGTGGTAAATGGGAAGGATGGCGAGCCAGTGACGGCCTGGCGAACCCGATTATGCGGACGGAGCCGAAAAAGACCCCGCGAACATAGGGATTAAAAGGGACGGGAAGGACGGCGTACCGTTTGCAGTATCCAGGTGACCACAACAAAGATCTCCACAACAATGTTCAAACAGCAAAAAAGTAAAAGATGGATATAAAATAAAAAGGGTACCAAATAATAATAACGATGGAAGAGAAAAAGGATGAGTCGAAAAGTGAGTGGGCTTGAGCGTTGTTCGCTAGAGCTTGGTTGATTGATTGATTAAGCTGGGAGTGAGGAGGAGTTATGACGAGAGATGCAGCGGCTGGAAGAGGCAATCCTTTTGAACTCGGAACTGATCAGCCTGCTTTGTGGAAAGAAGAGGAGGAGAATTTGTATCACCAAACGCGTACTCTGGGTGCGAAGAACCTGTCAAGTGAGTTCAGAGTGGTGGAACGAATGATAAATCGAGGCGAACGCTACTGTGTTTCGCCATGATTGGTCCGCTATGCTGGGGAGCAACCCTGGAGAAGGGAAGGAGCAAGAGTGGAGGAGGAGGGGGGGGTAAGGTATGGGAGAGTACGACCCATCATTTTTGTTTTATTCACTTGCAATACAGATGTCGAATTATTTGACCGGCCAGAGATTGGAAAGAGACCACGAAAGGTAAATCGAAGGTGTGTGAGAGGGGAAAGGTACTGACAGGGGGGAGGGGCCTTCACGCACAGTACTCATACAGTTACGGATGCACAGTTGTATGATACTGTACGAGTACTTGAGTACCGGTAGGCACTGCACGTACAATACGGTAGCCCCAACATGGCTCCGGAGTAGCCAAGCCAGGCTCAATAGCAGCATTAGCATCGATTAGACTACCGTCTAAGCATAGCATACGGTATGTACGGTACACGCACAGTACACACTCGAATACTCTCCCACTACTCAAGACGTGCAAATACAACACGACCCTCCAAGCAGAGAGCGACTTCAGGATAGTATAGTATTACCGACAACAAGAGAATATTAAATTTAACGAGAGGGAACCGTACTCAGTCGGAGGCCGCCGTTCGCAGGAGACTCGGAGGCTCGGAGGACAGGGGTGCAACGGTAGTGGTGGGCTTGGGTGCATTAGTGCGCACCTGCTAGTATGCCTTGTGGTGATACTTGGGTGGTCAAGAAACCGCCAGTGAGCGAGTGAGCATCATACTTTCAGGGTAAGGGAGGGAGTAGAATAATTGGTAAAAGGGTTCGAGTAAGGTACCGGTACATTGCTTCAACCGGACACCAAGATAGCTCGTGCTCAGCAGCAGGGAAGGTGGTGGGGGTTTTTAGTCTGCCGTCGATATCTTCGACTGTCCCGACAGCTAGCTTCCAACACCCTCACCCTCACCCTCCTCACCCTGCAACCCCTATGAAAAGGTAGTGCGCATACCTGAGTAAAGGAGAGACGCTTATTATTCTCGTGCATGAACCGGACGACATAGGGCATTCGTTCACAGAAATAGGAACTACCAGACCAAAGCAACGAATATTCGTAGCTAGTAGAACACCGGGCTTAAGTGGAAAAGAGTGGACCGCCCCCCCGCAAGCTCGAGAGGTAGAGAACTCTGTAGTCTGCCGAATACAGTTATTACAACAAGGCCAATCCGAGTAGCATACAGGTAGCACTTGCCGCTGCATTGCGATTCTACTGTAGGTGAATGTAGTGCAGCGACAAGGCTGGCATCACCGCCTCCACGAATTCGATCAATATCAGTTTGTTCACCCTCCCCATCTCAACCAGGGTATGTGATACACCGGATACCTATCGGTGTCACACATGGGTGACCTGCGATACATATCGCCATAGTCATACCACATCCACTACCGTGCCGCTAGAGATTTTACGGTACATAGTCATCAGGAAAAGTGCACAGTTGTGTACAGCAGTGGAGCACCGGTACTCGTTCGTACTGTACTCGTACCTCCGACATAAATCTCGAACTCCAAACTCTACTACAATCCAGGAGGGGCTGCCTGGGCAGGAGGGAAGGAAGGGAAAGAAAGAAAAAAAAACTCTCCCACACCACAAATTCCGATCGTCCGGTGCGATCAAGCAACCGAATCCAGTACAGTCGAGAAAAAACAAAAGTGAGCGCGGTCGCCCTATCATCATCAACCTCATACTTTGCGCACACAAGCTCATGCATGCTTCTCTCTCCGCTCCATGTGCACACACTCTGAGCCCCACACTTGCTTTCCTGGGACAAGAATTTCCTCTTTTCGCAGCGCATCGCGCTGTTAGCTGTTGTGATTGATGGCAACATGTGGGGTATGAGCATCGCACATTTTGGAATTCACAAGTGCCGAAGATATTCTCCAATCGACCAGCCAATAATTTAGACGTTTCTTGTCGGTCCGCTTTCCTTTTTTGGGCCACTCGAATACTCGAGTCGTGCGGTGTTTGGTCCACCACCACACCGCTTTAGGAAACCGAGAAGAACCAACGAAAAAAACAAAAAACAGGTACAGTAAACCTTTTCAGTACCATGACATGTATCCTACTCGGACTCGAGTGCCGTATTCTTGTGAAAGCCTCTAATAACACGTGCTAAGGAATATACCATTTAAGGGAGTAGCACCTTTTGCACGTTGAATAAGAGGGCCCTGAGAAGGGGGTTAAAAATAATTCAGAAAAACGCCTATGAGTACACGATACTATACTCTCGCTTGCAGGCACTCGATCTTGGGTACATTCGGTATGCCAAGAAAAATCAGGTAATCACCAAAACATCTCCTCGCACTCGGATACCTCAAATGTTGAATATTTACCCAATGCCCAGATCATTATATCTACTCCTCCGGAGTTTCTCGGGATGGAAAAGAGTCCTGGAATTCTGCGAACGTTTGGTTGTTCGTTGCAATACGAAACCTTTTCGATGGTATCAGATATGTCTCGGCCGAAGATGGGATTGGTGTCCGAAAGGCTTGAGGTTTCCTCGCGAAAAACTAGGGACCCTTCAGCCTCCTCGATCAAATGCCGATACGCCCTCTTTCACTTTTCCCAACCATCTGGGTTTTAGTGGTTTCTTTGCCAACACACCCTTGCCTACGCCAAGATCGAAAAGAAGCAACTAAGCTGTCATTTTAACCGTTCCGTGGATCTGGGTGTGATATCCGAGTGTGGGGATTCCATATGAACGCCCAAGTTAGCCTAACAAGAGATTCCCAAAGGAATGAATAATCCTAAAGGGCTCTGCTAGCCCTCCCTCCCCCCCTTTTTTCCATCTTCCGTTCCACATTCCTTTTAGAGAACCATGAAATTTCGGTACTCCAGTACAGCATCATACTCAAGTACCGGTCTCTTTTTCATGATTAGCAAAAGAAAATAAGGGTCCGTCTTTTCCCAATGTCCAAGCCCCCGGGATTCCGGGGTATTCGCTTATTTTAGACCTGTTGAAAAATCCCATTCCGTGGGCTTACAGTACTCACCCCAGGCAAGAAGTACCGGCACCCGAAAGTTGAGGGCATACCGTAACTCTGTTTGCACGCACAGATATGCATGGATGATTGGCCATATATCCTTCCAACCACTGCGTTTGGGTACCTCTTGCCTTGGACGAGTATCCTCGGGCTCTCATAGGGAAAACGGAACAAGGGAGAGAGAGAATAAAGAAGTTGGAGGCGCCCGAATTGGAAAAGTGGGAAATCGCAGACCGAGCAAGCAAGGAAGAAACCCGGCATGTAAGCAGACAATTAGACAAGCACTTTCTCATTAGATAACTTATGTCGTTGTAACAAACTCACACCTGTTGAAGCAGCTACTGTTACCTCCGCCTTAGACCCTTGGGTACACTGAAAAAAAATGATAAAGAGGGTGCAAGAGCGCAAGAAAGTATGGAGACAAGCAAGGATGAAACCAAAAGAGAGGGAAGGAAAAAATGAAGCTAGAAAAACAAACTCACGATTTCGAGGTTTGCTATCGTGCAGCAATATGCCGTACCTAACCTACGGCCACCCCGACAACCACCGACTGGCTGGCTGGTCAATTTTTGGCCGAACCTCGCCGACCCAAGCTCCTCTCACCATACCACCGGAAATGTGCACGGAAAACGTGTATCACGGTACGCATCAACAATGGGCAAAGCAACAATTCATGCACCACCGGTAGGATACAAGCTGTACCCATGACTCCCCCTGATCTTGCTCTAGGCTCGTTCTGGATCTCTCTGCTGTCTGCCACTGGAATAACTTTCCGTCCAACTATCCCTAACACGTACTGTGGTCTGCTGATATTTCAATAGATTTTCTTTTTTCTATGATGCCTCTTTTCTGCTCCATGCCTTCCTCTATCGATGGTAGAGCTTCTTTAAATAAATAAATAAAAAAAGACACTGCAACCCTCCGAGTGCTGTGACAGTGGCACTAGCATTGTGTGCAAGGTGCCTGGCCCGGTTTCGGCAATACTACAAGTGGAGAGGGAATTTCCCACCAACTGCAACAGGATCAGCTGTACTCTGCATCCTCTTCGACCGCTAATTTCGCAGCCTAATACCGGTGACGAATCCAGCACTTGCATCAAATTTCGGGATCTAGAATGAGTCTGGCCGGTCCTATTACTACCCTCCCCTTCCCCTATTATGGCATAATTCCATATGGCTTTCACAGCACCTGCAGTAATCAATTATCCTCCGGTGGTCCTCCGGTGACTTATTGAATACTCTCCACTCTCTGTCTGGCAATAAAACGGAGGATACGGGGACTTCCGGCCAATCCAGTGGCCTGCCGTCATGCAGTGCCAGAGTTTTATTTTATATTTCAATAATTTCTGTCGTCTAAGGTAGGAGATGATATCATTAGACCTCAACGGATTCGAGCTCTGACAATATTGTGGTATCGAGATAGAAAGGTTGCATAAGGAAAAATCTTGGTGCTGTATAATGGTGCAAGTAGGGTACTGTACGGTAGCCTATTAGCCCCCCCGGCATGGCTCTTACTATCTACAGCTCTGATGTGAATCCAGCATGTGTCTTCCCGATACTGAATGACCGATCACTTTTGGCATGCAATGATATGTGCTGAAGTGGCGGAAGCAAGAAACAAAGACAGGAAAGTACGTACCTCGATGGCTAAAAATGTCGTTCTCGGCTTGTTCAGTCCCGGTTGAAATCTCACCACAGGTGCTCGAGTATTCGTTGTGACCCATGCACATGGCACCCCGTCCACCGTTTCAGAACAGGCCACACAGACAATCGCTGTCGGCTGTCTGTCGATCAGTCACTCAGAGGGAGGGCAAGGAGGGTAAAGATCGCGCACCCTCATACACTGCCCCCACTGCGCAAGACGGCGCGGCTATCCACGAGCCACGGGGGGTAGAGATGCAGGAAAGGAAAAGTGTGGGTAGTCTTTTTTCCAGTCCTTTCCCTTTCCTTCCTTTATTCCACTCCGTATTTCTCACTGCTTTGGAGGCCAGTAGATCTAATGGAGCCGTGTCCGCCGACAGCTGAATATAAACCACCCCAGGCCGTTTATCAGTTTTTACCTGGGGTCATCGGTCATCACTCGATTTTGGATACCCGGCACTTGTCCCAGGCCGGGAGTATTAATGCCCGAAGATAAGGGAGGTATATTTTGTGTTGGCGCTCAAATACTACATCTTTCTCTAAACCCTATTTTTGGGTGTCTCTGGCCTGTGACCAGTGCCCTCCGATAGTGCTTGTGTGGACAGGCCTATCACTGGAACATTGCTTCCGCATTACTCTAGTACGAAGCCCTGACGGTTCCCCGTGTTAGAACCGGATTGGGCCCGGAATAAACATCCTGATTATTAGCGATCCTGCCTGTCTGCTGAGTACTCGTATACATAATGCATAGCCGCCCCGCCGTATGCTCCTCGGGGTGCGGTGGCTATTAGATACGAGGACACTTCTACGTTATCTACTTTTTTATTTATTCTAGCGGTTCGACGCCCCAAGTCTCGAGCGATAGCATAGGATTTATGTGGCATCAAAACCCCCTAGAACCAGGATCATTGATTAGCAATTTTGGCGTATATTGGAGAGTGCCAATAGGTCGGGGGCGAGCCGTGCCCCGTACCGGCATTTTGTGGTCCATGCGCTGACTGGCGCCACAATGCTGGATCACGCTGTAGCTACTAGCTGGCTGCCAGATTCAATTAAGACAACAAGGACTGCTGAAAATTTACGGTTTTGCGCTAATACTTTCACTACCTGTTACCTCTACCAGCAGCTTCGAACTTTCAACTCTCTGGGCGATACCGTTGCAGTACTAATTTCGGTATGGATCGGTATCTAATTTCCAATTTCGCGCCCAGTTCTGCTCAAGAATATTCCAATTACTCTCACTCCATAGCACTTTCCCCCTTCTCCTTCTCTCTATCTTACCCAGAACCCTATCCCCTTTGCTGACTCTTCATCACTTGGGTTTGAATAGCTCCTTTTATATATTATACTAGGGGGGTGTTTAGCAATCCGATTTCAAATCACGATTTGAAAACATGGATTAATTTGGGGTTTGATTTTCTGCATTGGCGGTCATCGATTTTAGGTTTTGTATAAAATATTCGAATAATTATGTTAAAAATGTGACGCTTTTCTATCCTGTTTGCTTTAACAAGATCAACAGACTAAAAAAAATTGAATGTTTAAGTTGAGCCATATTACAACAAGTCAAAAAAAAGAAAGTTCTGACTCACAAATCCCTATCTAAATTAGCATCAAATTACGGGGTGTTCGGAAAAATGTGATTCCAGATCATGAGTAGAATCACAATATCCGGGGTTAAACCTGTGATTTCAGATCGTAATGATGTTTGCCTGACACCTCCTAAGGCATTTTGCCTTCCTAATTCTCTCTCGCCAAGGTCTTCTATAAGGACTTAACTAATTTCCCTGTGGAAGCATTCCGCTGGATTTGTGGTACCGAAGGAGTCTTAAGAATGTATTTTCCATCATTAGGCCGGGTATTGTTGAGAGAAAAAGATTAATATTGGAGGCAAGGAAATCGGGATTTATATATATATATTGGTGCTCATAGTGGGTGAGTATTTGGGATGAAGTTCTAGTGATAGTACGGGGATTGCGGGGGGTTGAATGTTGGATCTTCAAAAATCACTTTCCTGCGGTTGTAGCCCTTCGCCCTCATGGTGTTGAGCGCTAGGTGTTACATAGACCTAGGCTCACGCCTTAAGTTCATAGCACCGTATTGATTCCTGCTCCCACCCATTTTAGTCGTGGGCACTGCCAAGACTGTATCCGGCACGCCCCCCCCACCTGCACGTACCGCTTTGACCTGAGTGGAGGGGTAGGGGTAGAGAAGGAGTACGGTAGGTTTTCTGGTCTCGGGGTTAACCTTAATGCAACGTGGTAAGCTAGAAGGATACCTGTAGCGCACATGGTAGGTGCTCCACTACTAGACTAAGGAATAATCATGTCTTCCCCTACCCCATCCACCCAATCGCCCCCTCCAAAAAGATTGAGAAAGCCTATTGCCTATGTTCAGTATTTTGCTAGGATGCGAAGGCATTGCCATGATGTGAAGGGTGGTGGCGGGGGTCAAAAGCTTTAGGGGAGTCTACCATGCTTCTACCCGAGTAAATTTCTGGCTAGCTGAAAGGCTTCGGTACGGGGCCTAGAGCTAGTATTGGCAAGGGGGAAAGAGGGTAGACTAGATTTCAATAGTAAGTGGTTAGTTCACACATGCTGGCTGCACGCGCTATGCACCTGTGGTCAAGGTTCTGTGCCGGCATTATAGGTACAGTATGAGAAAAGGTATGAGGATTTTGACTAGACCTCCGAACACTATTCTCGATATACAAATAGTGTTTTGGGGTAAGAGTTCATCGTGATAGATTTGCCCGAGGTATACGGCGTAGTCTCCCGCTTTTTTTTTTTCCTCTTGGTGGTTCGGCCTGCGAGTGGGTCTTGACAGCGCACGCTGAAACTTTGTATAAGACTGATATGCAGACATGCATCAGTGGGTGCATACGAGGGGGGGCTCCACCCTTTGTATCATAGGTCGGGTGAAACAGGATGATGTTCCCGGGCTAATCTAAATTTTTATCTACCTTTTGAGCGGTTTTTATCTACTAGCCCAGTAAATCTTCAGAGATGATAAAAAAGGCTAGTCCTAGTACTAGTTTGCTCTAGTTTGAGATCCTTCAAGTTGCCTAGTCCTGGGAGTCCAGCGCCTCTCTTTCTTTTTTCTCCTGGGGGGCCAGCGCAAAATATAGGGCCTAATTTCTTTCTAGACCTCCTATTCAGAAATGCTATTGTTTGGAAGCGCTCTTCCCTGGGGCACCCTCTGCGGCCAGGGTTCCAGTCCGACAAAGTGGCTACATATACGAGTAGATAAGGTCACAGGGCCGCCCAACAACAGCCATGCTAACCAACCCCCCATGGTGTATACTGAGCTCTTTACAGTACCGGTAGTGTTTTGTTATCCCGGCGAGATATCTTTCTAAGCCGGCCAGGGAGCTAGAGGGTGCGAAGTAGAATGGCAGTTGCATCTGGTGCTCACAAACGTCTCTTAAGGATTTTATAAACCTACCCTGGACCCTTGTTCTCAAACTTTACAGGAAGGTGCTCTCTGCAAGCACGCAGTTTGGGTTAATCGTGCCAAGGTTGTGGCTTGGGCGCCACAACCCCCTAAAGTTTGCAGGCTCACTTTTGGGGGCACTCTAAAGAGTGCCTGCCAGCTCAACATCACTTCCCAGCTCAACATCACTTTGTGGCTCAACACCACTCTGTGGCTCAACATC